TGTGTGTGTGTGTGTGTGTGTGTGTGTGTGTGTGTGTGTGTGTGTGTGTGTGTGTTGTCACAGCATTTAGCAGTTGAAGCTCACCCTAACTGGTGACTGTGCGTTCTTCCTCTGTCTTTGATCCTTTCACCTCAGCGTTATCTGTCTTTTCCAGACCCCCGGTAGAAGACATTCAGACAGTTCTCAGCCCAGTGGTGAGTTGTGGCCCTCCAGGAGCCCTGCTGACCAGACCAGTGATCCTCACCATCCACCACTGCGCAGACAATGTGCAGGAAGACTGGCTTATACAGCTCAAGAATCAGCTGGCTATGGGAGAATGGGAGGTGAGTGTTGAGCAGAGAAATCTGCTACGTTCGTGTCAACCGAGTGTGTTTTAAGACTATTTTTACAGAGCTGTGATATAAAGAGAAGGCAAAATTGTATTTTGTTGCCCGTGTGTTGTTTAGCTCTATTTAATARACTGTATGTTTGTATAAATYGACACASGCAGCTAAAAWTTTAATATAWAATWATGTAASTTATTGCACAGCTGCACCCGTCCTRGTCCGAATTTATTAACGCGTGATCATAAACACAGACGCCTTATGTACGCAGGCATCCACACATAGAGGAATAATCTAAATTACACAGATACCCTGTGTATGCGGGCAGGAAGGGGGAAGAAAAGAAGAGAAAATGTGGTAAACACAAAGTGCCTACAGGCTAGCAGACAAGCAGGGGGTTGAAGACTCCTATCAGAGGCAATTTGTTATGCTCCTGCTATCATTCCTTCCTTTCATCTCTCTCCTTATATTTCTATCTATCCTCTTTTCCTCTACCCCTCTTTCCCCTTCTTCCTGTGTCTGTCAGCATGGAGTCTCTACCTCAGCAATCCATTCCATGTGTGCGTGACAGCGGTCGCATGTGTGTATCGTTGTCTGCGTGGGTGTGGGTGATAAGGCTGTCTTGCAGCATCGCTGTGTCAACAAGGCCCCCGTATGCGTCTTCTGTTGCTTATCACAGCTCAACACAATGTCTCCGCACAATTAGTCATGCATAAGATTTGGTGTGTGTGTGTGTGTGTCCTTGTGTGCACATGTATGAGAAAATGAGAGAGAGAGAGAGATGCTGTGAAGGACTTTGAGTGAATAAAGATGAGAAAAATGAAAAGTGGAATTTCATCATGAAGTCGATTTGTTTTTTTTCTCTCATTGCCGTAGAACATTCATTTCCCATCAGAAAGTCCCCCCCCACCCCAACACACACACACACCCCAACCCCTTTCCTAAAACAGGCAGTGGGAGGTAATTGAATTCCCCTCATATCAGGGAGGAGCAGCCACAGTTGTGATTACCAGTAATAACAGATTCAGACCATATTGCTTTCCTACCTCTTTGTATTGATTCAGCTCATCTGTAGGAACAAAACTCGCCATGAACTGTGAATCAAAACTCAATTTATTTATTTGTTTATTTTTTATCACACGTGTGCATGCAGAACATCGATTCCACAGTGCGTTGGCGTCTGCAGGCGAGGACACACAATTACTCTCGCGCAGACAGCTGAAGATGCAGTAGGCAGATAACAAGAACCCAATGAGGCCGAGCATCCCCAATGAGCTCAAAAGGCCATATGGATTTATCATAACTCAGGCCCGTTTCAGAGAGCTGTAAAAAAGGACAAGAACAACCGCCAGGATCGCATGAGATTGGGCAAATTTCACAGATAAGAGCTTTGAACAAGTGTCATCATTTCCAAATGGGCTGTATGTCTTGATTTACCTTCAGAACTTATACATGCACCCAGAGTTTACACTGCACTGTCAGAACAGGTTCACAATCGTTTGGATAAAATCCTTTCTGTGAGGATTCTGTGAGGACGCAAAATACTTTGTTCTTAGTCTTAGATGGGTTCTGTCAAAGGTTTATGAATAAAGAGTATCTTACCTGTTGTAGATAGCATGTCTGGTGATCTCAGTTTGTAGAAGTATAGTGTAATTTGGAACAGGTGGATGAGCTAAAGGCTAATCTGAACAGGGAAGATTAGCTTTTAGGGGTAGAGATTAAAGTGGAATTTTGCCATCATTAAAAAGCACCAATCTCCAAAATGCAGCTTGCATCAGAAATGCTACAATTAATTGCACTTTAAAAATATGCATAGGATTTGCACAATGTTTTGTGGGAGATTACATGGCAATCTAGTTTAAATTAAATTTATTAAATTGATTTTTGTCCAAACTGAGCTTATTTATAAAGCTGTCGATAACAGGTAAGATAATAATTGTTCATATTCTTCCCACAGAACCACCCTCCAGTTTTGCATGATACTTTAAATTGATGGGTTTACTATTTTAAAAAAATCTGTAAAATTATCTGAGCTTCTAATGCATAAGTTCATTAGTGATGCAGAAAAAAACTTGTTCACTTCAGCTGAATGCATCGGACATAAATCACAGTTATGTTTACTRACTTGTTGTTTACATTTGTTGGAAAGGTTCCATGCACCCATCCAGTTGTGTTATGTTCACAAATAGAAAATGGCTTTATGCCTGTGAACTCACAAATAAAGCCAGCATCCAGGTTTCAACAATAAATGTTTACATGGGCAAATAAAGCACAGTAAATAAAGTTGAGAATACAGGAACTGGACCATGGCTCACTTCACAATCAGCTAAACCTTCGCTGTTTATTCACCATCAAAACACGGTTCTACTTTAGTCAATATTTAGTTGAGTTTAAAGTTAAGAAAATGCTGTAATTTAACCACCAGAAAACTGTGATTCAGGTTTGTCTCAAAGCATGTCTTCCAAAACTAAAACCAGATAAATTATTTATTTCATATAAAGTCAACATGACTTTTTTTTAAATGTGACTTTTATGTGTTTGGATCCAACAGGATGTGGTTGTAGTGGGAGAGGAGAACTTCACCACCCCCTGCTATGTGCAGATGAACTCGGAGGCATGTCATATTCTGACAGAGACACTGGGGACTTACTGCTTGGTCGGCCAGTCGATTGGCAAAGCCGCCGCCAAGAGGCTCAAGCTGGCTGTTTTTGGGCCAGTCTCATGCACAACTTTGGATTATCACATCAGGATTTATTGCCTGGATGACACTCAAGATGCACTTAAGGTAAAGTAGAAGTATGTGAATACAATTAGAAATGTGCCCACCGTATTAAAGCTGTAAATTTTTTGTTACACGCAATTCGTATCTGTTGTGGGCACAGCTTTGAAACGTTTTTTCTGATGATTTGAATAACTGTGAGGGTTTGTTTGAGTGCGTTGCTTCGTTCTTTAGTCCTGTGAGTGATTCAGTTTTGTTCCGTACCACTCGTTGTAATATTCTTACCCGATCATTTGCATTTGAAATGGCATCTTAAGAACTCGAACGAGGATGGATTGTATAAAGTCATAAACAGAAGTATCTTCACCTCTAGTCTTCTGGAGATGTGCTGAGAAGCAGTAAACAAAACAGGGTCAAGCAATGTCAACACGGAGCGGCATTAGAATTTAAACAAATTCAAAGCACTGCAGAGACCATCTGATACGAGAGATTAACATTGGTAATTTATTCTTGCGGTGATAAGTCAAGTGTCAGTGCAGCCGTGCACACAATCGCATAAACATCAACATGCACTTGGCTCTACCAGTTGGAGCAAACAGTTGTAACTTGAAATAGAAGTTCAAAGGTGGACTTTTAATGATGAAAACTTGTTGTGGGATAAATGAAGTTAGAGAGCTGCTGCATCTGAAGCTGAAGAGAAGGGAGGCTTCTATGCACTTATAGAATTGTTTTAATATTCGTCCATTTGATCATTAATGCAAGAGTCTGTTAATGTCAGTTTCATCAGAATGAGTGTTTACTTTAATGCATGCTTGTGTCTGATGGGTAATCGTATTATCAGATTCTCCTTGGTGGGATTTTAGTGGATAAATTGGCATAATTCATTATGTAGGATGTGTTAAAACTCCCATAGGACTTTGTATACAAAATGTAATTAAAGCATTCACAGCATGCAGCAAAGTATGCTGCTTTTTTGTTATAAAATTGGCAAAGAAATCAAATGCAGTGCATTATTTATAACAATACATTGCTCCAACTCTTTAAATTGAAAATGCACAGATGTATTCAAAAATACAAATACATTACAACATTTTAAATTGATTTTATTTTAGCTTACATTTTTCTGCTTTAGAAGAAATTTATGTAAATTAACCAAACTAACTTGGGCAAGCTGGTTCCTGTAGAAACCTCTGTGTTTTTCTTTTTTTTTTGTGTGTTATCCAGCTGTCCATAATACAGGTTGGTTGTTAAATCCTTTCTTAGGGTGGCTCAGTTGGGACAGAAAAGTTGCAGGTTCAATTCCCTGTTATGCATAAATGTTGGGGTGTCTGTGAGCAATGTACCCATTCACCAACTGCTCCCCAAGCAGCTTACAAAGCTGACTGCTGTTCCACTCAGGTGTATCTCACATGTGATGGGTTAAATAAAGAACACACAATGATGACAATAGCACAATTGTGATAATCACAATACTAGTGTTCGATGGGGTCTAATGTTCAAATTGAATAACTTTAATAGCTTTGAGTCATTGTCAAAATAAATAAATTAAAATAATGTAAGGCAATAATGGCAGAAACAACACCGCCAGCTTAAACTTTTACCCTTAAGTTGAAAGTAAGTTATTTCTAAGTATATTTTACAAAAGCAGTACATTAACCAGTGGAGCATTATTAATGACGATTGTGTCCACCTTCTCAGTGAGTGGTTTTAGTTCAGTGCAGATGAGCTTTGCCTCAGCAAACGTTTGATAATTTTCTGTTTTTAAGCAGCATTTTCTCTGTTTCAAAAATATTTAAAGAGGACATACCTTGCAAAATCCACTTTTTTAGCCATTAAATGTGTTTTGTTGTGTGCTTGGAGACGCTAGGAATGCAGAAAATGAGAACTTAGTCGCTCCCTGTGCTGCGTAGGTATATTTATATTCTCTTTGAGTTATGTTTTTCCACCCTTTCAGTTTTCTCTATTATATAAGTAAGATATGGACTTACCAACTAACCAATTTCATTGTCTTCATTCTTCTCTGGCTCTGGCTTCAACAAGTAAGGCTGGATGGACAAGTCTTCTGTTGTTGACTTCTTTTAATTAATTTGTAAAAAAATGTTTCTGTACAGCCTTATGGTGGTAACTCTGCTATCAATCTAGAATGGACCACTCTGGCAGCTGGAGGGGGTGGGACAATTTAAAAGTATATGTCTCCTTTAAACCATATTTACACAAGATAAAGACTCCATGCAATGACTTGCATGTAAAAATTAAGTTTAAGAAGCAAAATTAAGCAAATGCATATCCAATGTAAATTATTATCCCTCTCTCTTTCCCTTCACTGGGGTTGTTCTCTGTAGGAGGTTCTTCAGATGGAGACCCAAATGGGAGGGAAGCTTCTGGATGAACCAAAGACTCTGAACTTCAAAGACAGCACACATAATCTGAGACTGTCCATCCACGATGTGCCACACACACACTGGAAGAGCAAACTCATCGCCAAGTATCAGGTGTTAAAGACACACTGACGCTCACACACTACTATACCCAGAACTGACTCGGATTTATGGACCTTAAAATTGTGTTTCTTCGTCAACTCCTTAGGAGATCCCATTCTACCAGGTGTGGAGTGGCAGCCAGAGAACTCTTCACTGCACCTTCACCCTAGAGAGATTGTGCTCAGCCACCACAGAGCTCAGCTGCAAGCTGTGTGTGAGGCAGGTAGAAGGAGAAGGACAAATCTTTCAGCTCAGCAGCACCTTGGAGGAGGTAAACATACACAAAAAGCACCGAAACTCTGTAAGACGATGCTGATATCAACTTAACGATGGCTTGTTTCTACCTTGTAGCCTCTCCATCCCAGTATAAAAGGTCCTAAAGTAGTGGGTTTTTTGTTGTTGTTGGTGTTTCTGTCTAGTCAGGGTCCTGTCATGGTTCTGTGACTTTGTTCAATCATTCATACAGCAGCTGGAGGTCACATAACACCACAGGAATAACTTCTGTTTGATATTACTTGGTTGTGTAACCATAAAGCCACGTGAAGTGTGTATCTGTGTGCGTGCCAGTGTGTGAACYGCTTCATTTCATGGTGATTAGGGCTAACAGCTCGTGCTTTGGACTTTTGAAAAACGTGTATTGCTAACACTTGTATAATCAAAGAAGTTGGCTGGATAGAGGTTTTTTTTACAAGGAACAGCATGTTTTTTGGCTTTCCTAATTAAGCAAAATAAAGATAATGGTCAAGATGTTCTCCTGTTAAAGAACTGTTWCTGTGGTAAACTAAGCCAAAACTCTCAAGTGGCCTTTGATTTMTTTATTAGGCCACATGTTCAGATCTTTGGTATATTTGGGGTAAGTTTATTCTCACTGGRATCTGTTTGGCTCAAGGATACATTATTATTATTTTCATACATTTCCAATTAGCCAACTTCTTTTTTGTCTTTCTTTTATCTTTAATTATTAGYTACACTTCTGTACAACTTGTACATTCTGCCACCAACTGAGTGCCTAATAGGGTCCAGCAAGTTTCTGATAAAAGAAGATGCTGATTATCTCTTGTTTAAACTTACTYATGAAGTGTACATTTGGATGAAGATGATGCGTTCAGTCTCAAAAGACAGATGCAGATCATAAACAGGGATGTGATACAAGGACACAGAGACGGATTTAAAAACTGAAAACGATTGTTGTGAATAAACAAATGACCGCTGCAGCACGGGCTTTTGRCATGTATGTACTCAACCATTCTATCTCACTATATCTGCTTGAGCCACACTGGTGCAGTAGCTTGTCCGATTGCCTCACAGCCAGGAGATCTTAATTTCAAATTTTTATTTATTTATTTATTTATTTATTTATTTATTTATTTATTTATTTGTTGTGTGGAGTTTGCACATTTTCCCTCTGCATGAATGGATCTTCTTCTTTGTTATATGTAGTCCTAAAACATGCAGTTTAGGTTAGTTAGAGATTCTGGATTGTTCTTAGATGTGTGTGTGTGTGTGGGTGTGGATGGGTATTTCATGATTTATGAGGACCATTTTAAGACAAAACACCTACATGTGGGGACCTAAGCCAAGTCTGTTTGGTTTAAATGCCATTGGTGGGATGGGGTTAGGACCAAGGTGTGAACTGAATTTAGGTTAGGTTTATGGTCAGGTATGTACATGTGAGGGTATTCAAAAAGAAAAAAAAAATACGTAGATCCTCTGGATGGGTTGTTCTTTAGTGAAATGTTTCGTCTCTCCTCCAAGAGACTTCTTCAGTCTGATGAGTTTCAGGTGAACTCAGCCTTATAAGCACTGCCTCCACATGGACAAACAGGTTTGTCACATGCAAAAGAGGGCCATCGCCTAACAATAGGCTTGTTTAGACCTATTGTTCACAGAGGGTCATGTGCCCCATCACCTGACTCGTGCCATGTTATGTGCATGTAATGAATGCAGGCGGGGCTCGACATCCCCTTGTTTTTGTCCCTCTTTCTGTCTTTGTGTTGTTTATCATTGGGGCCCTGATTCACACCTTTTGCTCACAGGGGGCGAAGTCACACTTGCAATAACAGCATTGTAGGAGGAGGACAACTGGTCAAGAAGGCCTCCACCTCTGTTTAATGGTGGACGGTTTTTCTTCACAAAGATGACTTCCTTTACACCTCTCTCAAACCAACGTTCCTCTCTATCAAGGATGAGAACCTCTTCATCCTTGAAAGAATGACCGACACAAYTCACGTGATGGGGCGCATGACCCTCTATGGACAATAAAGCTAATCAAGCCTATTGTTAGGCGATGGCCCTCTTTTTCATCTGACTGACCTGTTTGTCCATGTGGAGGTGTGCTTATAAGGCTGAGTTCACCTGAAACTCATCAGACTGAAGAAGTTTCTTGGAGGAGAGATGAAACGTTTCACTAAAGAAGAACCCATCCAGAGGACCTACTTATTTTTTCTTTTTGATTATTTTCTACCTGGATTACTGAGATGCATCAGGACATGTGAGGTTAGGTTTATAGGGGGGTCAGGGTTAGGCTGTAGAAACTAATGGAAGTCAATGGATTTTCCCCATATGTATAGGTGGACACAGCKGTGTGTGTGTGTGGTAGTGTGCCTTGGGTGTACCCTGCTTCTCGTCTTTTGGTTGAGTGAGATGTTCGCTGATTTTCATGGTGACTGAAGTCTCTTCCTCTTGGATCGGTCATTCTCTTGAGTCTCACACTCAAGTCCAGCAAGTCCATTAGGTGAGGGGTAGCACAGTGCCAGCWATAATGGAGGCACTAGTGCACATAAGTAGGAGTCATGAGAAGTTGTAGCAGCTGTGGTAACACTGTATCGGTCGTGGTGGAGGTCCAGCTGGAGGGAGTATTCTCAAACATGAACAAGATTTTCCGTTAGAAAGTCTATTTTATCAACTTGCAGAGTGAATTCTTGCCTCCTTACAACGAAGGTTTATTTTTTAATGCACTCGTACCATACACCTGTTTTCATTGGGTTGACCTTTGATGATAAATATTATCAGTAAAGATGTGCAGAATTACACCAGTGAAAAAAGCAGGAAACATCCCTCTTTGCATTGATGTGATCCCATGTGTTGTTATAATGATATACATAGTTAAATGTTTAGTCAATTTGAAACAGCTATATCTCTAACACATTTGCAAAATATTTGTCTCAGTCAAATTGGACGGGGGGGTTGTGCAATATCAACTTTTTCGAGCATTACATCATTTTATGTCATTCCACCATAAAAAAACATATCCAGAGTGTTGCTTTGACTCATTCATGCATGTTTGAGAAATCCTTCAATTGCCTGTGGTAACCATGCAGAGCTGCCTAAACACTTGCCAGTACAAAGCCCCGCCTATTTACTCAAAGCTCCTCCTTGGAGTCTGCAGCTGAGCTGCTGAAATGTTAGCGTCAGAAACAGAGGGAGGTTCTTAAAAGGCCAAATTCAGGGCATTTAGATAATTTATGATGCAAAGTCAAATTTATTTTTGACATATGCAGCATTTTCATAACAACTGAAAGTAACATAGTGACTTGATTGTGATATGGAATTGAACTATGTGCCCACCCTATTTAATAAGTAAATCTAAACTTAACATCACAACCTCGCCAAAAGTGTCAGCATATCTATTTCCTGTGCTGTGCATTAACTGCACTCTGGAAAGCCTCGCCCACCTAGTGCTATCAAACAATATATAAATAAGACTTTAAAGCAGATTTAAACCATTTATCATTTCAGCAGGGACTTCAAAATGTCCCTTTGCATCAGTCACTCAACCTCCAGCAGCAGCAGTTTTCAGCTGTAAAGTGGGGCTAAGTGGGCACAGTAAATAGTTCTTATTCACATCAGTGGTGGCAGTTGTCGTTTCCCTCTGCCAAGACACATTCATTAGTCTGCAGCCTCCTTTCAGCCCAGGAGTGGCAGAATAATGTGAAGGTTTAGAAGGAAATGGAGATCGACAGCAAGAGCAAAGAGTGTGTGCTCGACAGCAGATCTTTGTGTTTGTTTCACTCCCGTATTGATCAGGAGTTTCTGTGTTGGTCACAGCAAACAAGTCTTTCGCCAAAAGGATGTAGTGGACTTGAATCTGAAATAAGATCAGTTAAACTGCCGGGTGGGAGGACATGATCAACAATGTGGATTTTAAGGTTTTCTTAGTTGTACTTCTGTATACTGACTATTAGGATGGTCTCTGGACATAAGGCAACATGTGGTTTTTTTCATAATAAAATATAGGAATCCATCCAGTCTAAACAATCTTTTAAGTTTCTTTGCAATTTTTATTTATTTCTTTTTTAGAAACAGATGAAAGTTTTTCTCACTCTCTTGAGGCTATGTTTTCTCAGGTTTGCCTGTCCTTTCCTCACTCTACGTTGGCCTCTTTCTGCAGACAGGATCCCACTAAGTCCTGCTGTAAACTACAGCAAATAAATGGAGTGGAATGTTTAAAATGGAGAAAGCATCAGTTAAATCTACACATATTGTACAAAAATCTCATGTCTAATCAGGATCTGGACCTGCAACCTTTAAACTGTTAATCAGTGTTCAGAAATGATGGTTTTGTTTTAAAATTACATTTCTTTAAACACCAAGTCTCATATGTATTGTTTTATTTTCTTGTCTTTCCAGGAGCTCCAGTGTATAGATACATCGTTAATGGACCCTGCAAGCAATATCACAACTTTAATTGGGCCTAATGCCTTTCGAATTCCTTTATCCATCAGACAGAAGTTGTGTGGAAGTTTAGATGCACCACAGACCAGAGGCAATGACTGGAGGATGCTGGCCCACAAACTCAACCTGGACAGGTAATGCTTGCATTTGTGTGCGTGTGTTTGTTTGTTCACATTTGATATTTGACTTTATTTGTCTCATAAATCACATAAATTTGAATGTAAAACCTGCACATCTTGGCTGATGGCCTCAAGTACAATGTTGTTTAAAATTAGTTTATTTTGTGCTCTAATGAAACAATTCCATGTATGCATAGTAAAGAAAAAATGTCACTGGAAATTATTTTACACCTAATTTACACAAAACATCATTTTGCTGCACAAATAAAAAAATCTGGTAATGTAATTAAATAAAAAAAAAACACAAACCAACAAAGAAAACAAACTACTTTAACAAACAAAAATAGTTGTTTTTCTGCTTCCATTCAACTCACAGTTTAACATTCCCAGTTTTGCCATGCACAGATGTTTGTCTTGATGATTCAGTCTAGTGGTTAATTTACTTGCTGTTTTCCAAACCAGAGCCAGATATTGAGAGGATAATTAAGCATAAGTGCACATCGTTGTCCCAACAGGCAGCCGGCTCGTGATGCAGCCGCTTGATGTGGGCACCAACTATTTCTGATCAGCAGGTGAACTGCTCGCAAAATTGTTGTTTACATCTACATTTTCTACTAAAATGTATGCTCCAAAAAAAGCACAATAACATGCTATTACAAGGAAATTCCATTGTCCATTTCCTGTTGGTGTAAACGCCACATCATATCAAGGACCTTAAAACAGGATGCATGCTTAGCTTTCACAGCCAACTTTTCTTACATAAACTGCACATTGGTTTTATTCGATCTTTTAAATGAAATAAAATGTGAACTATTAAAATAATAATAATAATAAAATAAATATCTGTAGGCCTGAACTGGCAGAAGGGAGTAGAATAGTGATGGTATGTGCCTTTGCTTTTATTTGAACAGCACCAGAATGTGCCAAAGGTACAATCACAGGATTCACAGAACAGAAAGTCTCATTTTTATCCTCATGAGACTGAAATCTGATGGCTTTTACTCTTCAAAGCAGCAATGAGATCTTTGTCACAGATGGATCAGTGTCAGATTTTTCCTCTGCCATCAACGTGGTCTTGACTCTTGACAGCTGCAGCAATTCCCCAAAGAATCGTTGACATATCTCTGCGCTTTAATACGATTTCATGTGTTTCGTTCCTCTATTAGTTTAAAATGGTGTAAGTTGAACATACATAATGGCAAATCTTTTGAAGGAGTTTCACCTGCCACGTTAGATTTTTATTTAAATTGTTTTAAAACTTTGTTAATAAGTTTTCTTTTGGTATTTTGTTTTATTTTATGAAAGTAAAAGACAAAAGGTGTCTTGTTAGAATGCAAACATTTCTAAAACATATTTTATTTTGCAGGGGTTTTTTGTAATTTTTAAAATTAATGATGTAACACAGGCTACACTGCAAAAACTGTCCATCTTACCAAGTTTTAAAATCTCTTATCCAGCCAAAAAGTCTTTTTGATCTTGTTTTGAGACTGATTTACTAAACAAGAACTGATTGTGTAAGCATAATAATCTTGTTTTCATAATGTGTAAGATTATTTGTCTTGTTTGTCTGAAAATTTGACTCAAATTAAGTCAAAGATTTCTGCCAATGTAGTAAGAAAATTTTACTTGGTAAGATTCTTGAAATAAGAAAAAAATTGAGTCAAACCAAGTATTTCAAGAATCTTACCAAGTAAAATTTTCTTACTCCATTGGCAGAAATTTTTGACTCAATTTGAGTCAAATTGTCAGACAAACAAGACAAATAATCTTACACATTCTGAAAACAAGATTATTATTCTTACACAATCAGTTCTTGTTTAGTAAATCAGTCTCAAAACAAGATCAGAAAGACTTTTTGGCTGGATATAAGATTTTAAAACTTGGTTAGGTGGACATTTTTTGCAGTGTAATACTTAAAGGGATATTTGAGATTATTAGAAGCGGGTTTCTATGAGAAGCTCATGACCCCACATGTTGAAGATAGCTCTTTGAACAGCCTCAATTTAGAGGATTATTTTAGTTCAAACCTGATTAATCAGCAAATGGCTATTTCAAAATATCAAAACTAAAGCGGCCTGCTGCCATATTTAGATCAACTTTTGGGAGAAAAAAAAGCATTCATTGAGATTTATGGAGTGGCTTGTTTAAAAACCTCAACACCTCTGTAAACTGAGTATGATATGGTTTCATATATGTTTTTTATAAACTTAGCACAAAAAATAATAAAAGTAATGTTTGGTAGATTATTTCTTGGTTGTACCAATGCTTTTTTGGCATAAATCTTGACCTGATTGTCAGCATCAGTGGGTACCAGAAGCTCAAAACAAGTATTAATAGCAACAACATCAGTAAATAAGCTGTAAGACAGAGAAAATTTAGCAATTTTTTTTCATGTGCGCAACTCAGTTCTACTTCTCATCCCACAAACTGAGGGGTGTTCAAAGAGCTGTCTGTAGCAGGTAAGATCATAATTAATCAAAACTTTCACAGAAACCCACTTTAAAACTATTTTCTTTAAAGCCTTCAACATTAAACTTTCCTTTTACATTAATAAAACAACATATAAATGGTTAACAGATTTTTGAAGTTTGTCTTTGTCGATTGTGTTTCCTTTGCAGATACTTGAATTACTTTGCCACCAAGTCAAGCCCGACAGGTGTGATCCTGGACCTGTGGGAGGCGCAGCACTTCCCTGACGGAGATCTAAACGAACTGGCTGCCGTGCTGGAAGAAATGGGTCGCCACGACAGCAGCCTCGCCTCTGTGACATCAGAACACTGACAAAGCACCGTGTTTAAACACGATAATGGCAAAAACTCCGGCGGTAGTTACACGTGAATTCTCTATGGCGGATGCTGCAGCTAGGGCTGAATGAACCAATTAGACGCGAGTAAATGAAAAGCTGTCACCATGGTGACGGGGCGCCGTTTGAAATACCACGGTAATCACGTCGACACGGGAATAACAAGCGCTCGAGCCGGTTCTGGACCTATGTTTGCATTTTATTTGTGTGTATTTGCGAGGTGTTGTTGGTAGAGGTAGCCCTACCTGATAAGGAACAAAGAAAACATACACATGCCTAAAGAAGAGGGGGTGGGGAATAATCTGTTTTCTATCGCAACACCAGATTTTTTTCATCTTTCTGTATACTTCAATACCAAACAAAGCAGCGGAGGCATGAAAAGAAGATAAACGAAACAGATACTGACCTTGAAAACATCTATAGAAATGGAAAAAGGAAGAGAAGGTAAACTAATTACAGAGGAGCCCAGGAAAGGTAGATTGAGTACACACCGTGGCTGAGCCTGACTCTTTAAAAAGATGAGAGCAAACAGAGAGCAGGTAAACTGATTACAGAAGGGAGGGAGGATAGAAACGTACGATGATGGAAGTGCTGGCAGGTGACCATCTGGATGGAAAACAGATAATGAGAGGGGAGACGAAGAAGTCGCTCTCTTTCTTGTGAGCCTCGGCTGTACGTGTTTGTCGGTACAGTTTGTCGCCTTTATATCGTTTCTTAGGGAACGCTCTATGTATCCTGCTGTCCATATGTGTGGATCATCTCCTGCTACAGAATTATTTTCCTGTTAGTCCTGACCAGAAACAAGCCAGAGCTCAAGAGTTTCTCATTTGGACTGAAACGTGACAATATAAAGTCAAATCGAAATGCTTTTAGATCATTTAGGTCATAAAAACTGACAACTGTTTCCAAACGTCCATTCCAAAGATTGTTCCTCAGATAGATGCAAGTAAAATCTGATCTATTTAAAGGTGCATGACTGTGAGAGACATTAAATCTTTTTTTTACAATAAATGAGGTTTAGACTTTAAAAATTGGTTTCAAAGTTGTTATTCATTTTTATTTATTTTTTTACAATCTTCCCTTGAGCATAAACTCAGGTGTCTCCATTCAATCAGCAGTGAGGCTGCTGAGCATGAGATCCTGAAATCTTTCTGCTGGACTGTTGGGGCTTGTTTCTGGGCATGGATGGATGGATGTTTTTTATTTCTTATCCACTTATATACAAAGTAACAGAATTATACCATAGTGAGTTCAAAATACTTATTTTCATTTATTATCCCAAAATGTAAACTAACACTTTCAGTGTCCAGTCGTCACAGGATGTCAGGTAAATTTTCAGACTGGGATTTTTCCGGTCACTGGCGCCATCTAGTGGCCTTTGAAGGTTTCAGGCAAGAAATGAAACTTTGTTTTTTTTATCATCTGAAATGTAAATACATGCTTATCACATTCATACTAATTACATTGTACCACTTTATTTTGCTTATTGGAATTTAGCTTTTTTATTATTAATTTTGTCATGTGTCTGAGTTTAAACTGTAAAAATTAGGACATATCAATCATTTCCCATGTTTGCCAAATTTCTGTTGGCAACACAGTCTATTTGAAAAAAAATGAGTTAAAAACTTTCTGCTAAAAACAACATAACCTAGTTGGCCAATTTAAAGGGGAAAATGTAAAACTAGGCTGGATTTCAAATGTTTGCATTTAGTGAGAAACATGCAGGTCTTGCTTTGAGCGACACTTGAATAATTTTAAGATGCCTGTGGGGACATTAAACTTTTGTCATGATTAACACTGAGCTCCAGGGAGATGCATGGAAACCACTCACAATGTGTGTGAAAAGATACCATTTGTGTAACACTGCTAAAACAAGATCAAGATTGAGCTGAAGATTGGTACAAAAGGTCAAATCTTTACCTGGACATGACAGGTTTCATCGTTTGGCTGTCTACACAGGAGGAAACACTCAGACATTGATTTTTTTTTTCTTTTTCTCATTGATTTTCTTTCCTTGTTTAGTCTGTGAGGAATGTGCATTCACAAGATCTGGACCTTTTGTACAGGTGTAAAACCAGAGGCAGACATTGCAAAAGCCTCAAGGTGGTTCTTAGGAGTCCGAGTGTAGATGCAAGACAATAATTTAAAATAGTTATTTCTATAAACTTTAGTTTGAGGAAGTCAAAAGAAAACTTTTACAAGGATAAAAGCCAAACACATCAAGTCGGCTGTTCCATTTGTTTCAGAGTACACAGGAAACACCGACGCATCTTTCATGTTCTCATCACCAACATCAAGCTGGTTCATACAAGAGCTATTTTAACTCACTGAAAAAAGTCTAATATTCAAAATAGCGTAACATCACAATGAAAAATTACTTCAAAGTTTACAGATTACCAGCAGAATAAACATTTTGTCAGTGCTGTTAAAGGACGTTTTCTAATAAAACATCTAGGCCTCCGGAGAATGATGTGAAAATGGAGAGAGGTTCAAATATAAAACTATGTACAAATATTTTTATCTACAGTATGTACAGTTGTGTACTGTTAACTATATTTGTCAAAATTCAGAATTTAAAAAGAACAGTACAATTAGGTTATAGTTTGTATGTTTCAAGTTTTTTTTATTCTTTCCTGTTTTGTAAAAGCAGTTTCTACTATGCAAACTTGGCATTGGTTATCATAGAAGTCTGTAACTAGATCAGTCTTTAAAAGTGCATTTTAATTTTACTATCATGAGTGGTTTGATTTGATTAGTGTGGGATAGTAATGGTCCATTTTTTTGCTAAGTCTGGCACGCTTCAAGAGTCTTGCTTAATCTTGCTGATTGCTTGCCTCTCTGTCTCTAACTGTTTTCTGTACAAAGTGTAAGAAAGAATTTTTAAGACAATTAATAAATTATATTTATAAGCAATCCTAAAATATTTTGTAAAGTGTTTTTTTGTAAAGGGTTTACACATTAGCTTCCACGTGAACTGCTGATTTTTCTAAAAACTAAAATTCACCAGAGTTACTTAATGACAGCAGCAATTCACTGCATACGCAACAAAGATTCCACTTTTATTTTGGTTGCAAAGAAGGTTACCCTTTTTAACAGGTTTTTTTTTTGGTCATTTTGTGAAACTTCCAGAAAAAAGGTTTGGAACATTTTTTTCAATGACCATACACTTTTTCATCAATGTTGTCAGGGAAAAAAGAGTGACCTGTTTTCATGTTGATTTTTTCCCCCACTTTCTTTTTTTTTTTTTTTCTATTTCCTGCATCAGTTAACATCTTAATTCAGTATCTGTCAGAATTTACTTCAAGTAATGTTTTTTAGAACGCAAAAACTGAAATTCACCTCAAAAGCTCAGATTTTTAATTGTGTCTTTTTACCAGCTCATACATCCCACAGCTGTAATCTGCAAACTTACTCACTGGTTGTTGTGGAGTTTTGGTAAAAACTGCAAGTGTATAAAAACGTTTATACTTGTAAATAAAGACTTTTTTTTGCTCAAAATGTAAGTAGCTGATGACAAGAACTGTGGCACAGTAGGTAAAGCTGTTGCCTTCATTAAGAGGATCAAATCTTGGACTGAGACCTTTCTGTTTACACATTTTCTCTGGGGATACCAGTTTCCTGCCATAGACCACAAACATAAATGTTAGATTAATTGGCAACTCTAAATTGTCCTTAGAGAAACCATTTACTCACTCACACCTATGTGGCCCTGTGATGGACTTGTGACCCGTCCAGGGTGCACCACGCCTCTTGCAAAGCAACGGCTGGACATGGGCACCAGCACCTTTGCTATTAAAGTTAAAGTAATACAGCATTACAGCAAATGGCAATAAAACACACTTGACTGCATTATAGAATTACTGGAGCATATAAACTTTATTTTTTTTTTCACATTAGTCTCGAAGATTTTGAGCTTTACATGGAAAAAGGCAGTTTTACTTCAGTTAGCCTACTGCAGCGCACAAACAAATTAAACTTCAGTGTCTACAAACGTTTTCACCTTAAACAGAAATTTACAGTAAAACGTCAAAAACATCTCTCACATAACGTCAGCCCAGTCAAGAATGACAAAGAATGTGATCAATCCAATAATATTAATCTCAATAATAATAATATTAATAATAATAAAGCCAGTAGTGGGACGATGAATGAAAGGAGATGTTTTGCTTCAGGTTGCGTTGAACCCGATCCCTTCAGTTTTGTCAGTCGGACCTTCATCTACAGGTAGAGAAGCTTTCACAGAAAGCACAGACACAGTATTCTACTTCCTGGTCAGTAGACTGAGTATCTCTGCAGCTATAGTGTCAAGTTCAACCCAGGGGTCTTCCTCAAAGACCTTTGGAGCATGTGCACAGGGACCTTTGTATGGTGTTAGCCACTCAAATTGATCTAAAACCATGTCTGATATCTTTGATGGGCCAAAAGCTTGACACACAGATGACTGTTTTCATCAAGACTTGGGTTGCAGAGTTCCTGGCATTTGGATTCAGAGTTTATGATCATATGTTGCCCCCAAGATGTTTCTCCTGGTTTTTCCTCCCAAAAAAGGAAAGGTGTGCATGGCCTGGGTTGGAGCCAGTGTGATCATTATTGTTCTTTCGTTGCACAGCTGGTGTTGGCACGTCACAGCTTGATATCCTGTGATTCTGACATTTTGGCAAGCGTCTTTTTGACCCGCAGAGCTGTGAGGCGGCAGGCCGGGTTGTGAGCCCAGCATTCTGTTATCAGCTTCCCCATCTGTCTCAAACACTGGGAAAATAAGGGCTCATTATAAGGGAGGTCATTTGTTTGTTTATGCATGTAGAATGTAGCATATGGGGTTACCTCATCGCTGGTCCATCGGTTAGGAAAAGATGGTCGTAGTCTCTTGATGCAGACCACCTCTCTCATGTCTTCATAAGACGGGTCTGTAGGAACTGATTCCTGATATGGTAACTGATACTCTTCCAGGATTCCTACAAGTAAGATACAAATGTTTAGCTTTAAAGGGATTGTTCAGACCTTCTGAAGTAGTATTTTGTGGTCATCAACATTTAATATTTGTTAGAGTTGCTTAGTTTAATTCCGATGGGACTAACAAGCTAACAGCTAAGCAGGGCCAAGGCCAAGATAGACCACTGTCGTCAATCCCGATCCCCTTAGAGAATAGGTGAAGTCACAAAACAAACAATTATAAAGTCCTGAATATGCCCATTTTTCTGTTTATTTACCTCCCGAGACACAGCGCCGTGCAATCTCCCAGAGGATGAGCCCAAAGCTGTACATGTCAGCCATGATAAATGACTGAAAATGAGTTCTGTTCAAAGTCTCGTCCAGAACCTCAGGAGGCATGTAGCGCTTCGTGCCAACTCGAGTGTTAGGAGGGATGTCTACTTCATTTGTGTCACTATAGAGGTAGAAAATCAATAAGTTCATATCAGCAAAACATCAATTCACGTTAGAATGAAAGGGGACGGTGATATTTCTGACGTCCACGACACGCTCACCTGATAAACTTGACCGCCAGTCCAAGATCAGCGATACAGCAAGTCCCATTTCTTTTCACCAGTATGTTCTTACTCTTGAGGTCCCTGTGAGCAATAGCAGGCTTTCCCTGGGTGCCAAAGATCTCGGTGTGGAGGTGACAGAGTCCGGACACAGAGGAGTAGGCAAGGCGCAACATTGCTTTATTGTCCAGAGTGGTTGATTTGAGGTAGTCATACAAAGATCCATTTTCATGGTAGTCAGTGATCAAGTAAAGCTGGGTCCAAGAGCCAGTTCCTTTGATATCTGCAGCTATAAAACCTGTGGAAAGAAAGGACGGGATAGACAGAGAAAAAAAAGAGATGCAGGAAATTTTAGTTTCCACATTTCAAATTTCTGTATCTCAGTTTAAAATACAAGTGGGTATTGGTTGTGCAAGGTAACATTTTGCACTATTGCATCTATGCATCAACTACATTAGACTTACCAAGTATGTTCTCATGTCTCATTAAGACAGTCTGGTAAATTTCAGTCTCTCTGAACCAACTGGCTTCCTCCGTGGTGAAGAAGACTTTAACGGCCACCTTTTCTCCCCTCCACTTGCCCATCCAGACATCGCCGTACCTCCCCTTGCCGATCTGCTTCACCATATGAATCTGCTTGGCAATCGTTCTTTGGACCTGAGGAAGGGCAAAAAGGGCAGGAAATGGACAGATAAGTTCTGACCTGTGTTTGTGCCTTTGAACTTAAGCTTCTTTACCATCTTCTATATAAATCTGGAAAATAAACAACTGGTCTTGTTTATTGGTAAAAGTGCTTTTTGAAAACTCAAGAGCCTTTCATTTCCAATTTTCTTCTATTGCACTGGTTTTATAGGGCACAAACTGATAACACATATTTAAAATAACTTGTCTGGTACAATTTACAGCTGGTATTTCATCACCAGTGGAAAGAAATAAATCAGTAAGCATACAAAACAGCACAGTAATGTTTAGAAATGGGTGTTTGCAGTGCTTTACAGGCATCTTACCAACAGGGGGAGACCTGAGCCTGAGCCTGAACTTTGAGATTGTTCAATCAAATCCTTCAGGGATTCCCCTGGTGGAATGTAAGTCTCATCTTGTTCCAGACCAATGCTGTACCGAGGACGAGATTCTTGTCTCTTGTACCTGTGAAACAAAATTATTCAGCACAGTTATTAAAAAGCACAAATTTCTTGTAAAAACAAGCTATAGACTATAGTGAGTACATTAAGAATGAAGTGAAGTGCACTGGGTGTAAGAAAAGTTTTGATGACTGTTGATTCTGATTACCTGAAGTAGTAAAACACTATGATGACAACCAAAATAAGAATGCAGATAGTGACTGAAATCAACAATGCCATGTGGTGGATCTTCCCATCAGCGTAAACTAGACAAGAAGGATGAAAAATAAATGAGAAACTATCATATAATCAATAAAAATCAGTCATAATAACATAAAGTCAAAAAAAGTTTCATAACATTTATTTTTCCAAGCCTTTCTTGGTGAATGCACAACAAATGGAAACAAAAATGCATCGAAGAAAGTCAAGTTCAAACAGACCAAACAATGATTCAGCATTATTATCAATGTCAGTGATATAGAAGAGTAAAACTGTAGACATTTCACCTTAATGTATTTATTCTGATAAGCCACAAAATAGTTGACTACAGTAAATCGTATACAAATCCTATTTCACTCATCAATTTTTCATTTTTTTTCTGGCACACTCTGTCTTCCCTCAAGACCACGTCGACAGCGAGAGGAAGCCCTCGACCTCGTCGATGAATTCTCCTCCCGATCCCTTATGATAAGGTTACAGATTGATGACTCTGCCCTCAGCATCTGCTGAGACCTGTGATTTCCCAGGGATTCTTGGCTTACTGTTTCTGAAATACTCAAAAAATACGGCTTCTCCCTCACACCCAGAGTATAATGTTGAACTCAGTGGAGATCTTGATTTCCTCCTGATTCTGTGGAAAGCTGAAGGACGGCTTGACATTATTCACTGACACCAGCTATGACTTCCTGACAATGTTGTTATAACTTTGGCAGAATGGCTTCATCCTTTTTCATTTATCATTTATTATGTTTAATGACCATCTCCACACTGTAGCTGATGACTAGAGTACAAAGAGGGGAAAAAAGAAAAGAAAAAAAGACAAGCGAAGGTATGGAAGTGAAGAGATAAACTTACGAGGTGGTTGGAGCGGTGGCAGTGTGGGATGCAGGTTTTTGTTACAGTAGTCTTCATCTGCACAGCACTCCAACAATCTCCTCTTATAGGTGTTTCCTGTGTCCTGAGGACAGAAAAGTCATCAAAAAAACTAGATCTTGGGTTTCTTGTTTTTGTCTTTTTGCCCCACTGTGCAGTAAAAACTTGATAGCCTGCAGGGAGCTTTGAAAATGTGACTTGACTTGATCTGGAATTAAAATTAATCCAACAATAGAAACCAGTTACTAATTAAAACTTAAAATGTCAAAAACACAAGGCATAAATAAACAATAAAAATTAACAATGGTTTGATAATCTATAACAGGGCTATTCAACTGAATTAATCACGGGGGCACAGTTACTCAAAGCCAACAGCTCAGGGGCCGGACATCCATTGGCGGGCCACCAGTTGAAGAGCCCTGATCTACAATAAATTCTTCAAAAGAACCCAGATATTAAAGTTTGTTTGTAGCTTAGACCAGAGATACTTAATGTATGGTTAAGTAAGAGTTAAGTAAGGTTTTTAACTWTGGACCACAGAGGGCCATGGGGCGGCATTGATTTTGAATAAGGTGCAATACACTTTCTCACCATTAGTAGTGGTAGTGCGCCACTCGGTTGGTTAACTACTTTTTTAATATGTAGAAGAAGAACCTTAGAAACCTGCCGAGAATGGAAACCTATTTTAAATGAAAAGTAGAAGCAAAAATGAAGGTAACCCATCAAAAAAGGCCAAAGTTTGTCACTAATATGAAGTGCAGCTTCTGTTTTGACCATGCAATATTTTAAAAGTTCCAAACCTTATCAAATACAGTTGCAGATACAACTATATTTGAATTTGTACTTTATCAAATTAATTTTTGTAGTTTATTTTTTAACATTTTTAATGTATTTTAACAAAACTTTAAACTTGTCAAAAAGCTGGTGTTACTGTTATTTGTCACTAATATGAAGATCAAATACAGTTGCAGATACAACAATATTTTTAATTTGCA